ATAGTCTTGAGCTATGTATAGTCAAAATGAATTTATAGTCAGTAATTTTTAAAAATGGCCACTATTTTTTTAATATTGCTTACAGGCACGCATACACATACACATTCCTGTTTGGTACAGGTTACACACCACTATGGAAAAAGTCCAGTGACCCTCTTCTTTACTGTGGACTTCTGTGTGCCGTGGGCCAAAATCAGAGCTATCATTAGCAAAGCTGCTACATCTGCTTACACTGGTTCTGAATTTAGTACAGGGGCGTGCATGCGTGTGTGCGCATTACAGAGTTGTTGGTATTAACTCTGTAGTGAAGGGTGCACTGAGGTTTACACTAACCGTGAGACTGAAATCCCTCGTTGTCACGCTTTACTGGTTCAATTTAGTCTCCAAATTTGGCACAGAAACTCTTCAAAGGATCATTGAATTTTCTGTTTGCACAGGAAACATTCAGACATGCTCCCTATTGGAAATTCTGCCAAACCCATGGAAGTAGGGAGCCCACCTACCCATAGAAATCAGAGAATTGACTGGGCTGGGGACAAATGGGCAGGAGTCCAGGGAGTCAGCTAAGATTTCTGCTACTCGGGCCCACTACCCACCCACCTACATGGATTCCCCATCCCTGCCACAAAACCCAGCCAATTTCAGACCTTCTCTTCAGGTGCCCTCCATCCCTGCCCTAACTCCATTAGAACTTTTTTTTTTTTTGCATTGGTTACATCTGTTCACACTTCAGCTTTAATTATTCCTCTCATCCTGTCTCCATAAGTAATAAGGACTGGGAAATGGTGTGGACGGGACAGCTACCAATGCCTCTATTGAAGATCGACCAACTTGTCTTCAGAGACTGTATCTCTGTAGCAAACTTCTGTGGTTCTCCAGATGGGGTCCCACACTGACTGACTGACCGGAATCAGACTGGAACGCCTGTTGAGGAGCGGGCTAGGACTTCCCAGGGATGCGGGAGGTGGGGTGAAAAGGAAAGAAAGCCTATTGGTATTTACAGTTGAGTAGGAGAACTGATCAGCAGAGGGGTGGATGGAGTATTGAATGATGTAGCTGCTTATTTCCCTGTGTTTTAGTGATGGGATATTGCAGTCTAGTCATCTTAACTCAAAGCTAACAAGTTTATCATGGACGAGTCTATGTATATGATAAACTGTAATGGGACAATGTTAAAGTCTAAAGGTTACGAATTTAACCTACTTCTTTCTTTTTGTTAGTGACAATCCAGACAGATGCTACCTTAGCTGCTTATTTCTCTTATTTAACACTATCTCTTTGCTAAGCCTCATTCTAGCTATTCTTTATATTGTCCAGGATATTGTTGTTAGTCTCCAAAGAATATTTGATGGTGCAAATTACAAAAATTAGATATGTGATTGTCTATCCCTAGTATTTTCTCTTTTGTTCCTACTCTTTCTCAATACAATTTTGAAATATTTTTTAATGTAAATGCTGAGTAATTTACTTAAGACTTGATGCTTAAGTACATGCTTCACTTTTCACGTATGTGAATAGTCCCTTTTGAAGTCAGTGGGACTTTTTACATATGCTTAAATGCTCTGCTAAATAGGGATCTTGATGCTGAGGAGTGAGTCTTTCTCCTGTAATGAATTAGCATTTACAGAAGGCGATAAGCTTCCAACCCCACCAATACCAAGGAATGAATGAAAAGTGTGGGTGATGAGACCGAAAAGGGTGTGTGCTTCTAGTGCTATATAAATCACTGCCCAGATTATATTGTCAGGTACTAGACCTGGCTCACTTTCATCAAATGACCTTGTGTTATGGCATCATCGCACATTTTACTAAATGGAATCCCTGCTAGCCAGCCAAATTACTGAATGGCAGACGTTCATTTACTCTTTAGAAATGAAAAAATCAATATGTTTATCCATGCAGAAATCCCCTTATTCATCAAATATAGTCTACCTAAAAAATATATTATTAAGGATAAAGCCAAATTTTGATTGAGTGAAACAATAATTCATCTGCTTTCCAAGGCATTCAGAATGAAGTTCTCCTGTAATGGTACAGGGAGCAGCTGTCGTTCTCTTGCTCCAGTAACCAAGAGGCAGAATTAAATTTCTGTCAGTCATTTGGTAGTATAGGAATAGGTCATTTTAGTAAAATGTTATTATAGGATCAGTGTCTGTCAACTGAGAGGGTGGAGACTTAAGGCGATTCTAGCAGCCAGAGACAGTCACTTGATGATAACATTCTAGTTCACTGGTTGATCTCCTTTGTGTTATTACTTACCGTGGAAATAAGGAACATAGCCAAACTAGATCAGACCAGATCAGATCAGTGGTCCATCTAGTCCATTCTCCTGCCTGATAGTGACCAAGACCAGATGTTTCAGAGCGGAAAAACATTTCCTTTTATCAGTTTTCATTTTGTTGCCTTTCAGTTTCATTAAATGCCCCCATTGTTCTTTTATTACACAAAACGCTAAATAATTTGTGTTGGGTAAATTTTCAAAAGCATCTATGTGAACTAGGAGCCTAAACCCCCTTTTCAAACATCACCTCTGGCCAGATTTTTAAAAGTGTTTACGCCCCTAGCAATACATATAGGCACCTTGGTGCTTTTGAAAATTCCACTGCATAGTTATGTGCCTAAATACCTTTACAAATCTGGCCCTAAGTGGCTTTGAAAATTGTCCCCTGTTTCTGTACCAGTCATAATTTTATATACCTCTAGCATGTCCCTTCATATTCCCTAAACGAAATAGTGTCTTTTCAGCCTCCATCTGTATAGAATTCTCCCCATATTTCTAATTATTTTCATCTCCTTTCTCTGAATTGTTGGATTAAGGTTCACTTACTCCGCAGATGGGTCTAACCAATATTTGTTAAGGCAAAACACTCAGTGAGTAGTGATCAGTTACTTATAGGTGGAAAGCTGATGAGGACGATCTCATCACAGTCGCCTTCAGCACCTGACAATACAGCTTCAACTTCCCTTTGTTACACAAACTTATTTATAACTTTTTGATATCTTTTCTTATCCATACTTATTAGTCTCTCATTTCCGTGTTAACTTTCCTCTCCCATCATTACAGGGTTAGTGTTAGTCCAAACTGGTCTTTTCTAGCTTTTTAGTTACTTTAGCTTTTCTTGTTCTCACAAACATGATTACTCTGCAATTTCTTACAGATCGGGTGACCATAACTGAACACAGTACAGTAGGTGATGGCATACCATTCATTAATATAATGGCATTAGAACATGTTCTGTATGATTTTCTATCTCATTCTTTATGTAGCCTAACTTTTTGTTTCCTTTTTTTGACCACAGTTGCACTCTTTGAGTAGAGGTTTTCATTGAGCTCTTCACAATGACATACAGGTCTTTTCCAATAACTAATTTAAGATCTATCAGTGTCATTTATGCTTGGGGATTAGCCCTGCATATACAGTACAGCAGCTCCAGCACTGGGGGAGTGTAGAGGTGAGCATTATGCTACCTTGCACACCCCAACTTGCTCTGTGTGCTCCTCAGCTGTAGCTGAGGATGTGGCCCTTAATGTTTTTGATTAACACTGAATTTGTAGGGCCTTACCTGTTGGTCTAGGGGTGGCATGTTGTGCCATGTGGGAGGTCAGAGTTCAGGGCCTGAGCTTTTAGTTCATTGCTCCTTTCACCAGCAGAGGCCAGAAGTACAGACGAAGCAGCACCCTCAATCCCAGGGAGGAAGGGAGCAACTCGTGTTTCCCTTTGGCAGCATCCTCTAGCTCAGTGGTTCTCAAACTTTTTTTTTCACAGACCACTTGAAAATTGCTGAGGGTCTCGGCGGACCACTTAATGATCTTTCCAAGTGTTGTTTGTACTGTTAGCGCTTTCAGCCAAAGATTTATAGTTAGCTCTGTTTACAAAAACTTAATAATAATTAACATTTTTTGGTTCTACAAATAAAAGCACACAACTCATATTTTAATATCAGTAGTCTTACTTTTCTAATGCGATGGATGTGCCCTCTCTCCCCCGACATGGCAGCCCCTGAGCTGAGGTTGGGAAGGAAGGGGGTTTCTCCCCCACCGCAGCAGCTCCCGAGCTGAGGCTGGGAAGGAGGGCCATCTCTCCCTGGCAGCCACAGCCCTGGAGCTGGGGAAAGTCGCCTCTTTCTCTGGCCGCCGCAGCCCTGCAGGTCCCAAATTCCCCCCACCCCCTCTTCTCACCCAACTGCCCCCTCCCACCTACCCCTATTCCCCCCAAGGCCACCATCTCACCTTACATGTGCGTTTTCTCCAGGATCCAGGCACCTAATTAGTGAAGCCATGTTTGCGCGGCTCCACTAATTAGGTGGGTGGCCCTTCCTTGTCTCATGTGCGGCTGCCCAGGCGTGCACCTTAGAGAGAACTATCCGCAGACCACCTGAATGGAGTTCGCGGACCACAGTTTGAGAACCAGTGCTCTAGCTGATGCCTGTAGTGGTATTTACTGTCTGACTCAGACAGAAGTTGTGTCCAGCCCTCTGGTGATGTTGAGAAGACCCACAAGGGATGGTAGAGAGGAATGGGTAGACTCTGGTGGATCCTTCCACCAACCTTCTGGAAATATATTGAATTTGTAGAAGCTTTATTAGGTTGCCTGCAGTATTGTTGTAGCCATGTTGGTCCCAGGATGGTAGAGAGACCAAGTGGGTGAGGTAATTTCTTTTATTGGACCAAATTCTTCTGGTAAAAGTTATCTTACCCACCTTGTCTCCTGATTAGGTTTCTGTCATTCAGACTTGATCCATAGTGTTCTTTAATTAGGGGGGGTTGTTTAGTTTTTGGGAGCTGCTGAACCTGTAAACAATTGCACATTAATCCTTCCATGCCAGAAGTCAGCACTTGCTTGATGCTCAGGGTTGTTATACAGTGCACCATGTTTCCGGCAAGAGAGCGCTAAGCTTGCTGGTTCCAAATGGTTAGTGTTGTCTGTTAATTTCAGGTGGGTTATTTTTTTACACCTAATAATCTCATTTTCTTTTCTTTTGTTCCTTCTTCCTCTCCAGGCCCTTAAACTGACATGAGACCTAAAGAGAGAACCCTTTGCCAAATCTGCTGTCAGCAAGTGGACAGTGATACCGTTTACAGCTTATGATCTTTGTGAACCCTGCATTATTTTCCTAATGAAGCAGAGACTGTTAATGGGCCCCTTATCCAAGCGAAGAGCCTCCTTTTTCGGAATTGAACTCGTTCTAAAGTATGCAAAATCTTCCTTTTATGGGATGGTCAAGCACCTACTGTGGAGACAATGTTCAGCGCCATCCTGTTGAGAACACACTGTGTAGCCTTTACCGTAGTTATTTGTCAATGAGTATGTGGTGTTTCGATATATTAATGGTTTATGGGTTATTTTAATTTGGCTTCTATTTTGGGGGGTTTCCCCATCTCACCCCTCTAACCTTCAGTTTGTTTGTTTTTTTAAAGATGTTTTAACCATTTTCTCTTTCTCTCCTTGTGCATCTGAAATACAGTGTATGCACAATGAAAGGCTATACTAATTACCATTACCCAACATAGCTTCAGACATCAGCACTACCTGAGTATGTAGCATTCATTACACCAAGCAACTGACTGAAGTCCAGAGAGAGATGGCTTGTGGGTTTTGTTTTTGTTTTTTGACTTTTTTTCAAATCTTTTCTTCAATTTAATGGTACATACCTTGTTTTTCCATAAACATCAAGCCAGAGTTGATTACATAACAAGAGAAACTAGCAAGGTTGCTAGTTGCCAGTCCTGTCCAGTGTTTGTAAGGACTGAGTGAGGGTGCCATTTCATAGTGTTTACTGATTCAGCACCTGATTGATTTGATCGATCTCACCTATTGCATTATGTTAGCAGAGCTGCCCTAATGGTTGCAGTGAATAGAATTAGTCTGCCTCAGCAGTTTGGAAACTGGTTGATCTTAAAACAAGTAATAAGATAAGCTGTCCACCCAACACAGGTTGAATGTAACCACTTGTAAGGAAATGGTTTAAAAAGGAAAGGGAAGTAAAATATATGACATTGCAGAAAAGATAACTTACAGTATATGCATCAACAGTGACTTACAGTAGAGTCATCAGAAGTTCAAATGCAGATCACTGCAGGGTAAGTTATTACATCAGTGATTTTTCTTACATACATATCCTTGATTATTTTTTCCTTCTCACTATGCGTAACCCAATCTGAAAAAAAGAAGCTGTAGAGGGAAAGGCAAGAAAGTAATGCTATACAAACGGCTTTTCATATAAGCTTAGATAGTAACTGGATAAATGACACTGAAAGACAAGGCAGTTTTATATGTTTTGCTTATATGGGTTTCTTTTGTAAAATGAATAACAATGAATGAATAATAATGAATAAAAGGTATGGTGCTGCTGTATAGATTCTCTCTATAATCTGGAAAGCTTGATTACTTTTTATTACTATTTTTTGGGGGGGGGAGGAAAAAGAGGAGGAAACACCAATGGTACATAAGAACTTGGTATGAAGACGCTCTGAATAGGACAGTGTATACATACTTCTCCAAAGTGATATATGAAGACTTTTTTCTTTGCATAAAAGCATTATGCATATAAATATATAAATATATTTTATTATGTACAGAAATGGATCATTATGCATGGATGTTAGGAAAACAAGCTAGCATTTTAACCCAAAGTTTCAGTGCATGAGTTCCCACTGACACATGTACCATGCAATGTAGAGTGACTCCCTTTCGCCACCACCCAACATGCACGCATACACACACACAAACTCACACACACATTTGTGGGCCCCATCTTGCTCCTTACTTTCCAGTTCCCTGAAGTAATATTGGTGAAATAACAGCTCCTAGTGTGATGGAAAATTTGTTTTGTATTGTAACCTCCTCATGCTTGTGCTGTTCTATTTTATAGATGAACCTGTTGATTTCATCCTGCCCTTTACTGAATATGTAAACTCTGTGCAGTTGTGATTATAGTAGACCCATAGCATATCAAGCAGCTAAGAGTTTATCATTTTCATTAAATGAAACAACATTTTTTTAAATTAAGGTGGTCTATTTATCAATGGCAGGGACTAGTTTATTGTTTTTTTCTTTATCATCAGAATTAGTTGATGATTCACATTACTGATCTTCCCATTTGAGGTGATATTTCGGGTAACCAGCTACCCAGTACGATAATGGTGTACAGCAGTCATCTGTTTTAGGGGTCAGTTCACTTACAGGAGTCCAGATGCAGGCACCTTTTACCAAAGTTAGTAAAGAGCTTTATTGCAAGCCTTCACTGTACTCGGTGTGTATAACAGTATCTGTCAGGTTTTTGGTACATCATTAAATGTGAATTAAACTGAGGGTGTTTTTCTTTCTTTGTCTTCTGTGGTATTATGCTTGCTGATTGACAATTTTTAATCTTAAAGTCTCACTCTCTGATTAATAGGAGGGCTGTACACAAGTACTCTGGTACAAAGCAGGCTTTGTGTGACATTTTGTTGAACTATCTATTGTCCACTGAAGGATGGAATACATCGTGGTGCAGTCGTAGAGCAAGCAGCAGATCTCCCTTTCACACAGTCTAATTTAAGGCAGGTTACAAATACATAGGTAGTACAGGATTATGTTACTGTATCTACCTACCATATATATCTATTGACTGCACCTTTTTTGATTTGGATTTCTTGGGAGAAATATTGGACCGACCTGTCTGCTGATGTAACTTAAATGGGATAGTGCCAACAGAAAATTTGGTCCACTTTATAGAGTAGAATAACAAAACATATTGGGCCAAATTCTTCTCTCAAGTTACGATGATGTAAATCTGGACTAATCGATGGTAGTGAGTTACTACAGATTTACAGCACTGTCTTTCCCTGATGCACAACCCAAGCGCCCGGGCTGTGCTCTAGGGATCTTCTTGGGAGCAGGAACAAGGAATCCACCACTCCATAGCTGGTACTCCAGCATCAGAGCAGGAATAGCCTTAGCACTGCCTTCCTTGCCTGTGTGTCCCCTCTGCAGCAGGGAACGGCCATCGGATCCACTGACTCTGCCCCATCCCCAAATCCCTTCTGGGCAGTACATACTGGAGGTGAGCTCTGCGTCTTCAGATAGTCAACGCCTGCAGCCCCACACTGCAGCAGAACTGCACCTCTTCTTCCACTGCAGGCAGAACCTGCTTGTACCCATTTTGGAGGACAGGATTTATGCCAGTGACCAGGATTTGCCCAATCATTCACAGTTGCACATAAGGAGATACGGTCCAATGCTGCAGTCTTTACTCAGATGAAATCTCCCATTAAATGGGCTTGCCTGTATAAGGATTGCAGGATTGGGTTGTTAGAGTCCTTTCTTAATACCAGCAAAGTTCTGTTTTGACGTTATGACTACGGCGACAAAGACGAGTCATTTTATTTTTTCTTGGTACGGAACTAATATGTCTAATGGAAGGGAAAGACTGCTTGTTTGAACATACTGGGCCAGACTTTGTTACTGCAGTGTTAATGCAGCGTGACTCCCATGAGATCAGTGGAGTTACGTCAGATTTACAAAATATGGTTCACTTTTTTTTGAAAATGAAGAAAAACCAGTAGGTTCAGAGACATCCAATCAATGGCAGAGAAGTTGTAGAACCTTCCAAACAAATCAAAATCAAAGCACAAGCAAATAAGGGGCCTAATCCTGCTCCCACTGAAGTTAATGACAAAACTCTCATTGGCTTCCACAGTGCAGTTTTGGGCCCCTAGTGTTGGGGGGGAGAAAACCTGCACTACCTGAGGAGGGATGGACTAGAAAAACGTATAGATTTTTTCTCTCTCTAATTTTGGTGGCCAACATTTTCAAACTTAAATATGTGAAGTTAAGCACCTCAGGCTGGAATTTTCAAGGGGCATAAGGGAGGTAGGTGCTCTGCTTTCATTGCTTTTCAGTGGGAGTAGGGTGCCTCACTCATTGAGACCCCTTGGAAAATCCCAGGCCAAAATGTACATTTAGGCACATAAAAAGTGCCCCGATTTTCAGAGGTGCAGAATAGTCACATCTCGTAGAGAATCCAGCGGCAGCCACGGGGACTGAGCACCTTTGCAAATCACTTATTTAGGTGCCAAAGTATGGATTCAGAAACTCGTTTTTGAAACTTTGGCCTTGGTTCCAGGAATATTTTTGAGCATTAACCTCCCCCCCCCACACACACACACACACAAAAGCATGCCCAACAGATAAAGTCTCAGAACATATGCACAGGTTATTGTTTAAATTTTGTGTTTTAAAACATTCTAAAAAGGGTAATGCTTATGCAGTTTAGACAAGTCTGCTTTTATTTAATTTTCTTTGTGAAATATCTTCTCATATAAATAGCTGGTTAATAGGCCACTACCTAACTCCAGGAATATTTGTATTACTGCTTTACAGAGCTAAATGTTAGGACATATATTGCTCTAAAATTATGTCATTGCTTGGCAATCAGTCTCCTATAATTGTTTTAGTACATAATGTACACTGGAAATGCCAGCACATGTGCAGGAGGACCAGATGCATTTAGTTAATATGAGGGGGGGAACGATTGTACGTTTTGGCTTCACATGTTAAACTTTTTTTTAAAAAAAGTTGCATGATTGGAAAATAACATGTATACAGTATCTGTAAAACTGTTTTATCTGTTTTTGTTTCACCATGTCAAGCCATATAAATTGGAAAAATATGAAATCCACAGCCTTTATGCATGGCTGTCTTTATATACTGAAGAATTGAACAGTATATACTTTTAATTTAGGCATTCTTGCACTTTCATGTTGCATTCTTACCGAGGATTTTGTAAATTAGATTCTGCCCTGGATGAATATACTACCTTACTACACAAAGATTGGAAACACGTTTGATTTTAAAATCTTTCCCTTTCCAAATGAAGTAGAGATGCAGTGCTTACTCCACTTGGTGTTAGTAGATATTGCCTTGTGTATTCCTTTTTAAAGTGTAATCTAGTTTGTAAAAGAGATGGTGCCGCATGTAAATAAAGCATAATGGATCTCTACGTTGAATGTGCAGCTTTTTGTTGTTGTTGTTATTCTATTACATTTCAGACATTTAAACCTAGAAATCTGGAGGGAAAAAATAACTTCTAAATGTATCTAAATACAGTTGGGTTTTGTTTGTTTGATGTGGTGTGGGGGGGCTGATTCAAAGCCCATTGAAGTCAATGAGAATGCTTATTTACATAGGCTTCATTGGATCGAGCCTATAGCCCAAGGGTGAGACACTAAGAAGGAGAGGGCATAGCATTCTCAGTAGCAATCCCTTGACTCAGGATTGTTCATTCCCACCAAAAAAGCAGCTAAACCCAAACCCAGGCACATTTATAGTCTCTTATTCCAGTTTTTCCACTAACTGCAGGCTCTGGGGTCCCTGGGTTCTAATATATATAAAACTAAATCCTGATTTCTGCACCAAAAAAAGTAGCCAAACTTGCTGTAGGAGTATTGCACAGAGATTAGGGAGAAATGGCAGCAAAGCTATTGTGTGGCCACGACTGCAGTCCTGAGGGTGCAGATCATGCTGCTCATATGCCCCGTCTCTCTCTACAAGGATCAGTGTCAGGTGTATCAGCTAAACAACAAATCCACTGACCCTATCCTCTCTCCTCCCTGGTGTGCCCTGCTTCCCACCCCCCACCTCCCTGATTGCCTTTCAGAAACAGATATCCCAAAGCCTACACCTCCCTCATCTCCTGCAGAGCAAAATTATATTGGTTCCACTGTGCCTTGAGCCCCATGTAGGCATGGAGGAAAGATTAAGAAATACTCCATGGTGAGAAATATCAGGTATAACTAAAAGGTGTGAATACTGGATGTAGAAATCTGCTTGGGCCTAATTTTTAGGCCTGACCTGGACCCAAGCCCACCCAACCTGAGCCTGACCCCCCCCCCAACCCTGAGGCAGCACAGCCCCTCCTGCCCGTGGAGTCGGTGCAGCAGCAGCTGCATGCCCTGTTCCTGCCAGACACCACCTCCTGCTGTGCTGTGTGCGCATTGTGGAATGAGAGACACTGCAACTCCTCAACATACTCGCTCCACAGTGCACACAGCACAGTGAGGTGGCAGCAGCCAGCAGGAGCAGGGCACACAGCTGCCATCATGCCGACCCCATGGGCAGGAGGAGGAAAGCCGACCCAAGCCCAAAAGGATCCAGTTGTTTTACCACCCAACATCGACACTTGTAGTCAGCTCCTATCAGTTTTGGGTTGGGTGGCAGGGCTCTAATTAGACATGTATTCATAAAATATGTTGCAGAGTTATGGAGTTCTGAGGATATGTATAGCCCAGTTGTGAATGTGCTAACTCTGCTGATAAAATCATAGGATCATAGAAATGTAGGGCTGGAAGGGACTTCAAAAAGTCATCAAGTCCTGCCCCCTGCAGTGAGGAAGGCCCAAGTAGACCATCCCTGTCAGGTGTTTGTCCAACCTATTCTTAAAAACTGTGACTGATGGGGATTTCACAACCTCCCTTGATAACCTATTCCAGTGCTTAATTACCCTTATAGTTAGAAAGTTTTCCCTAATATCTAAACTTAATCTCCCTTCAGGCAGATTAAGCCCATTACTTCTTGTCCTAACTTCAGTGGACATGGAGAACAATTGACCACCATCCTCTTTATAAGAGCCCTTAACATATTTGAAGACTGTTATCAGGTTCCCCCAGCAGGCTTCTTTTCTCAAGACTAAACCTGCACTGTTTTTAATCTTTCCTGTTAGATCAGGTTTGCCAAACCTTTCATAAATGTTGTTGCTCGCCTATGGACTCCCTCCAGTTTGTCCACATCTTTCCCAAGTGGGGTGCCCAGAATTGGATGCAGTACTCCAGCTGAGGCCTCACCAGTGCCAAATAGAGGGACAATTGCTTCCTGTATTATAAATGCAACACTCATGTTGTTACATCCCAGAATATTTGCTTTTTTTGCAACTTCATCACATTGTTGGCTCAGATTTAATTTGTGATCCACTATTTCACAGGTTTGGCAGTTGGGCCAAGTAATCCATCATCTGTGCAATCTCCCTTAAATAACTAATGAAATTGTTGCATTCGGATCATCTATAGAGTAAGGGTGATCCTTTTCAGCAATACTACTACCTAGCTAGTTATTCCCCATTTTGTAACTGTGTGTTTGATTTTTCCTTCCTAAGTGAAGTACTTTGCAATTTTCTTTAGTGAATTTCAGTTTGATGAATTAGACCAATTATTCAATTTGTCAGAGTTGTTTTGAATTCTAATCCGGCCCTCGAAAGTGCTTGCAACCCCTCTCAGCTTGGTGTCATCCATAAATTTTATAAGTACACTCTCCACTCCATTATCTAAGTCATTAA